GGTTTTTAGAATATACCAATCTCTTACTCACCTTGAGTCTCTTTACATGCTCTTCCCTTGTCTGGAATGCTCAGTCTCTGGCTTGTCTCAGCTGAAGTGCAACATCCTCAGATAGGTGTTCCCTGATGACCACGTCCAAGTATGTTCCCTCACACCCACCGCCATCATTCTCTAAGTAGAGTGTAGGGGAGGCAAAACTTCACTTCTGTCCTCCGAAAGTCTCTGGCTGGGTCTGAGAATTAAGTTGGCATAAGACAGATTAACAGGAGAAAAGCATACAGATTTTTACATGTACATAGGAAACCCCATAGGAAAATGAAGATGCAGAGAAGGGACTAGGCCTATATGTTTATGTAGTAGATTGAACAAAGAGAGGCAATTGTGGAAAAGCAGGCATACCTTGTTTTATTGCACGTTGCTTTATTGTGCTTCACAGATATTGCATTTTTTTACAATTTGAATGTTTGTGGCAACCCTACATTGAGCAAGTCTATCGGCACCATTTTTCCAACAGCATTTGCTCACTTCACGTCTCTGTGTCACATTTTGGTAATTCTTGCAATATTTCAAACTTTTTCATTATTATTATATTTTTTATGGTGATCTGTGATCATTGATGTTACTATTGTGGTTGTTTTGGGGTGCCATGAACCGCATCCATAAAAGACAGCAAACTGAATAAATGTGTGTGTTCTGACTGCTCCACCGAGTGGCCATTCCTCCATCTCTCTCCCTCTTCTCAGGCCTTCCTATTCCCTGAGACACAACAATATTGAGATTAGGCCAATTAATAACCTTACAATGGCCTCTAAGTGTTCAAGTGAAAGGAAGGTTTAAATCTCTCACTTTAAATCACTTCAAAGCAAAAGCTAGAGATGATTAAGCTTAGTGAGGAAGGCATGTGGAAAGCCAAGATAGGCCAAAAGCCAGGCCTGTTGTGCCCAACAATTAGCCAAGTTGTGAATGCAAAGGAAAAGTTCTCGAAGGAAATTAAAAGTTTTACTCCAGTGAACTCACAAATGATAAGAAAGCAAAACAGCCTATTGCTGATATGGAGAAAGTTTTAGTGGTCTGGATAGAAGATCAAACCAGCCACAACATTCCCTTAAGCCAAAGCCTAATCCAGAGCAAGGCCCTAACTCTCTTCAATTCCATGAAGGCTGAGAGAGGTGAGGAAGCTGCAGAAGAAAAGTTTGAAGCTAGCAGAGGTTGGTTCATGAAGTTTAAGGAAAGAAGCCATCCCCATAACATAAAAGTACAAGGTGAAGCAGCAAGTTATCCAGAAGACCTAGCTAAGATAATTAATGAAGTGGCTACGCTAAGCAACAGATTTTCAATGTAGATAAAACAGCCTTATGTTGGAAGTAGATGCCATCCAGGACTTTCATAGCTAGAGAGGAGAAGTTAATGCCTCGCTTCAAAATTTCAAAGGACAGGCCAACTCTCTGGTTGGGGGCTAATGCAGCTGGTGACATTAAGTTGAAACCAGTGCTCATTTACCATTTTGAAAGTCCTAGGGCCCTAAAGAATTATGCTATATCTCTTCTGCCTATGCTGTATAAATGGAACAACAAAGCCTGGATGAGAGCACATCTGTTTACAACGTGGTTTACTGAATATTTTAAGCCCACTGTTGAAGCTTTGCTCAGAAAAAAAGATTCCTTTCAAAATATGACTGCTCATTGACAATGTGCCTGGTCACCTAAAAGCTCTGATGGAGATGTACAATGAGATTCATGTTGTTTTCATGCCTGCTAACACAAAATCCATTATGCAGTCCATGGATTAAGGAGTAATTTATACTTGTAAGTCTTATTTAAGAAATACATTTTGTAAGGCTATAGCTGCTATAGATGGTGCTTGCTCTGATGGATCTGGGCAAAGTAAATTGAAAACCTTCTGGAAAGGATTCACCATTCTAGATGCCGTTAAGAACATTCATGATTCATGGGAAGAGGTCAAAAGATCAACATTAACAGGAGTTTGGAAGAAGTTGATTCCAACCCTCATGGGTGACTTTGAGGGGTTCAAGTGGAGGAAGTAACTGCAAGTGTGGGTGGAAATAGCAAGAGAACTAGAACTAGAAGTGGAGCCTGAAGATGTGACTGAATTGCTGCATTCTCATGATAAAACTTTAATGGTTGAAGAGTTGCTTGTTATAGATGAGCAAAGAAAGTGGTTTCTCAAGATGGAATCTCCTCCTAGTGAAGATGCTGTGAAGATCGTTGAAATGACAACAAAGGATTTAGAATGTTACATAAACTTAGTTGATAAAGCAGCAGCAGGGTTTGAAAGGATGGACTCCAATTTTGAAAGAAGTTCTACTGTGGGTAAAACAAACAGCATCTCATGCTACAGAGAAATTGTTCGTGAAAGGCAGTCAGTTGATGCAGCAAACTTCATTGTCTTATTTTAAGAAATTGCCGCAGGGTCCGGCCCGGTGGCGCAAGCAGTTAAGTGTGCGCGCTCCACTGCGGTGGCCCGGGGTTCACTGGTTCGGATCCCGGGCACGCACCGACGCACCGCTTG